TTTATATGAAACCCTTCATTGTGTAATTCTAGCAGTTGAGCACTTGAACTCACTTCATACACATATAAATGTCAGTAACTGAAGTAACCATATACCTGCTATTTACTGCATCCGTAGGGAAGTGACAACATGTCGGCACAAAAACCCATAGAGGGAGCACACAATGCAGGTGTCATTTGCCTTTGTTCGCCGCGATAAAAAGCCGTGAGATAAGAATTTAAGTGTCACACTCAAAGAGAGAAAATGAGTGAGAAGCTAACTGGGATAACCGCCGTAGCTGATTTACTAAACTTTAATGCAGAACAGTCAAAATAAACTAAAGTATATTAAATTAAATAAAAATGATAAAATCAACTAAACTAAAATAAATCAATATAAAATAAAATAAAATAAAACCAAATAAAATAAAATAAAATATAATAAAATATAATAAAATATAATAAAATAAAATAGAATAAAATAAAATAAAATAAAATAAAATGAAATAAAATAAAATAAAATAAAATGAAATGAAATAAAATAAAATGAAATAAAATAAAATAAATAAATTAAAATTAAATAAAACAAAATAAAATAAAATATAATAAAAATAAATTTAAAAAAATGAAATTTAATTTATTTAAATAGTATAAATTAAAATAAAATGATATAAAATAAAATAAAATACGTAAGAATATAAGAAAAACTAACAATGTAAAATAAAGTTTATTGAAATAAAGATAAATAGAAAATAATCAACTAAAAGAGAAGATGATTAAATAAAACAAATTAAAATAAAAAATAAAGTTAAATAAAATTAAAACATTAACTAATATAAAGTAAAATAAAATAAAATGACACAAACTAAAAAAAAAATAATTAAATAAGATAAACTAAAATTAAATTAAAGATAATAAAAATAATAAAAATTCAAAAAAGAGATTAAAATTCAACAAAAAAAAATAAAATAAAAGCATATACAAAAATATATAAGAAAACGAAAATAACATGAAGCAAAATTAAATTAAATAAAAACAAATAAAATAATTTAAAATAAATTGAAACAAAATTAATTTAAAAATGCCAACACTAAATAAAATATTGTATATAAATTAAATAAAAGAAAATTAAATTAAATAATGTGAAGAAAAATAAGATAATTTAAATAAAATGAAATAAAATTACTTAAATTAAAAATAAATTAAATTAAATACAGTAAAATAAAGAAAAACCAAAACTAAATAAAGCTAAACAAATCAAATCAAATTAAATTAAATTATATTACGTATAACAAAATAAAAGAAAATAAGAATAATTAGATTAAATTAAATGAAATTAAAAAATAAGGTAAATTAAAATCAAACGAAATAATGTAAAACAAGTAAAATTAGTAAAATAAAAATATGAAATACAATAAATTCAACTCAATTAAATTAAGTGACAAAGAACAAAACAAACCAAAATAAAAAAGCTTTTAAACATTATATTGTGTTTTTTGGAATAAAAAATAAAAAAAATATATTGAACAATATTAACGAAACAAAAAATTAAATAAATTTATATAAAATTAATTGATATTGATAAAATTTTATTAAATCAAATATTTTCTATAATATTGGAAGTTTGCTCAAACCAGAGGCCTGACATAAGTACGCATTTCTAACCACTCAGCTACCGTGGCCTTTGGGTAATAGCTTAATATTATTAAAATAAATCAAAAAATTCAAAATTATTATTTTATGATCCACAAAGTATATGTTTTTAAATTCACTGGTACAAACCTTCCTTTTTTTTTTTGGCTACAAAATATTTTTTCAGTCGCTCATATTTTTTTATTAGATAATGTTTAAAATACGTATTAAAAGATAAAAAGTAATGCTACCATTAAAAAACAAATGCTCCATAAATTTTGGACAAGAAATATATAGTTTCACATTATTACCAAAATTTCCCATCAACCGGGCAGACGGTCTCTTCCCGCAATGCCATTAAAAATTTTCACATTTCAGTGGTACTCAACTCAACTCAACTTGCCATTCTTACGCTTGACTTACTTGCATATGTATACAACGAATTTATACATATATAACTACTTTCATATTTATTATTTTACGCCGATAAACTTAATGCATAATTTTCCGCATCCGACCTTTAGGCAAACGAGTTCATGAATCAAGGTCACTCCCAAATTGGCGCCAATTTCACTGCAACGGACTTGACTTGCTTAAATACTGGCTGGTTACGCCATATATATACACATGTATATATGTATACAAAAGTAAATAATGGTAGATAATTTGTCTCTTTCTTCTGCTACGCTTCATTGAACGTCAAACGCGGTATGTTACATACATATATATTATACAATATAAGAACGGCATTCAAATTTTGTGCGTAAATTTTGTTAGCTGCTGCTGTTATCACAGCTGCTGTGCACCAACAACTCATTTGTCTGCTTGGCTAGTCATAAAGTTAATTAACTCAGTAAATTTTTAGTGCCAATGACCGTTAACTTTTAACTTTGTTACTAACAAAAATTTCACTACTACTTTTTCGCCTACAAAGTAGTTTATTTCGAATTGTTGTTGTCGGTAAAGTAGGACTGACAGTAAGTTTTCCCCAATAATATGTTTTGCAATTTTGTTCAATGTATCGTTATGCCTCTTGACCTTGACTTCTTTGTTGTGAACTTGTTTAGCATCCCGTTAAAGGGCACAAAGTTTTCGGTCAGTTGGGAATATTTATACAACTGTTTTTTTAGATGGAAAGTAAGATAAATGAACGCTTTTAGTCTCGCTCGCCTGAGTCCTTGCTGCATTTGGGAAGGCTAATGAAACAATGAAGTTCATGAACCGGATAGAAATTACATTGAATTAAAAATAAATATTTCAGTATAAAATAAAACTAAATAAATATAAATAAAATTAAAAATGTACGAAAATAAATAAAAAAAATTAAATTCAAATAAACCAAATTAAAAAATATTAAAAAATATTAAGAAAAAATTACAAGTAATTAAATAGAAAAAAAAATTAAAAATAAAAATAAAATGAAATTAATATAAAAATAAAAAACACAATGAAATAATATAGATTTAAAAATAACATAAAATAAAAATATGGAATCAAATAAAAATAAAAATAAATTAAAATTAAATTCAAAAATAATTAAACTAAAATTAAATTAAAATTAAATAAAGCAAAATTAAGTAACCACTAATACAATAGTATTAAATAAATAAAATGATATTAAATAAAATTGAATTAGTTTACTTTGAATCACATGTCTTTAAGTTTAAAAGAAAAACAAATATACAAAAATTAAATAAACGGGAAACATTAATTAAATTAAAAAAATATATATATAAATGTATAAAATTAAAATCACAAAAAAAAAAGCAACATGAATTGAAACAAAGTTCAGCGTATTAAAACAAAATTACAAATATTTAATAAAAATATAATAAAATAATTATTTAAATAATATATATTTTTTTATATTTAATTTTAAAATAAAAAGTATAAACTATATAAATTAACACAAAATAAAATAACACACACTTAATTTAATAAAAATAAAATGCGCTAAAAGGTTAATAAAAAAACACAACTAAAATATTATAAAAACCAAATACAACAAATCTGACTTAAATCTAACTTAAATTAAAATTATAACACAAAAAAGAATCTAAATGAATTTTAATCAAGTTATTATTAACAAAATCTATTAAATAAATAACTTGGTTATAGCAAATGAGAGTAAAATGAAAAAAAAATTATTTACGAGTAAATTAGTGAAAAAAACATATAAAATAAAATGAAATAATATAATAAAAAAATAATATAACTAATATAACTAATAAAAATAAAAAATATAATTTCAATGTAAAGCAAAGTAAAATAAGGTAAAAAAATGAAATTAATTCAAATTAAAAGGTAAAATTATTATAAATTAGAAATTTATAGAAATAAAATTAAATAAATAAAAAATATATAATAAATTAAATAAAATTAAACAAAATATTTCAAAAACAGTTAAAAGAATATATCAATTAATTTGTTAAAATTCAAAAAGATCACTTACCTCTTTTTCAATATAATTAAATTTTAATTAGTATTTATACTTTAATTTAATTTAATTGATGTAATTAATAACACATGAGTATAAAATAAAGCATTAAATAAAAAAATAAAATTAAAGCACTAAATTACATTATATTTGTTACTTAAGTAAAATTAATAAAATAAAATTAAAAAATAAAGTTAAATAAAATTAAATAAGTAAAAATAAATGAAAAATATATCATAATAAAACATAAATAAACATATATAAATTAAATAAATGTTTGTATGTATTTTGCGCCAGTATACATAAATTTATAAAATAGTTTATTTATATTAAATAAAATTTATTAAAATAACTGGAAATCATGTAAAACCAAATAAAATAAAAGCAAGTTAAACAAAATTCAACTTAATTTAATGAAAAAATTTATTAATTTAATTTATAAAAACATGAAAGCAAAAAATATATGAAAAAGTTAATTAATTAGATAGAAAAAGTTAATTAATTTAAATTATGAAGACACAAATATTAAAATATAACAAAACAAAGTAAATAAAAGAGACTAAAGTAAGATAAACATTCTTAAATAGAAACATGCTTGTAGTTAAAATAATTATTGAATAATAAACAAGAAATATTAAAATAAAATATATTAAAAATTGGATTAGTTAAGATTTCAAACAAAATTTACCAATATTAAAGTTAAACAAAATAAAAAATCGCTTTAGCGGGTACAAAACGCGGTTAAAATATATGAATAAAATATATAAAATTAAAAATTGACTACGCAAAAACTGCATTTTTAGATTAGATCATTGCTTTTAATCGATTTCGATATCTTATTGAATTTAAAAACATTTTAAAACATATTTTCAGAAACATACATATTTCTTTTCATATTCCCACTGGTTTCAACAATTTTTAATAATTCTTCTATTTTCTTCTCCAACTTTCAGGGGTTTTGGCAAACAAGGATTTCAGTGTCAAGGTGAGTTCAAAACATTTATTACACAATTTTCCAACTCAATGACTGCCAGAAGTGATATGGAGTGCAAAAAAAAAAGGACACTAACACGAGAAAAATCTATAAAAAAAAAAACAGCACAAGTAAAATTGTTAGAAGGAATACTAAACGAAAGGATAACACTTAAACTTTTACACAACTATCAGTGACAGACTAATGCAATATACACGCTTAGTGTTGATATATAATATACAAGCTATTACATATGTATATACGTATAATGGACTTGTGGATAGTGATAGCTTTAAGGATTGCTGCTACAGAGTCAGTTACATATAAACTTTGGAAACTACACGAGAAGACACACACATATATATATATATATATATATTTATAAAGAATCATGGCCACAATAGTTCTTTCGAGTCACTTTTAGGACATGTCATACTAAATAGTTAACAACAAAACTGTCTTGACTTCACAAAATGCCTGTGGCAAAACTTTTCTACACATTTTAATATCTATTGGACGAAGGATAGGCAGGAAGTTAAGTAACATTTTGCAACTTTTTTGAATATACCCAAGTTTTTTTTTATTCTTGTATTAAAACTATATGTAAGTCGGTATGTACTCAATTTCTATTTCTTCCTTTCCTTACAGTTTGCTCGTATGTGGTGCACAAGCGTTGTCATGAATATGTGACGTTCATATGTCCGGGCAAGGATAAGGGAATCGATTCCGTAAGTTTTTCTAAAAAAAAAAAAAGAAATAATTTAATTTTTAATTTTATAAATATTTTTTTTTCAATAAATAAGCTTTTTATTAGAATGGAATTAAAAAAATTTTTTCGCAGTATTTATAATTTTTTTTACTTATATAAGTAAAATCAATTTTATTTATTCATATTTAAAACTATTAATTTTTGAAATTATATTCCTTATGAGCACAATACAAAACATTTTTGATAATAAAATAAAATTATCTACAATATTAGAATTTTTGAACAAACTCAAATTCATTTAATTTCGTTAATTATTATTTGCAAATATTTTCCAATAAAAAAAAAATATTTTTATTTTGATTAATACATTTTTATAAGTAGTAAAATATTTAATAATAATAAATTAAATATAAAATTGTATTAAATTTTCAGTTCAAAAGTTATATAATAAGTTGTTTACGAAAATAAAATTTTGATTTAAATTCTTTTATAACAAAAGTCACATTAGCATTTTTAGTACTTTTTATAAAAAAATTTTTTTTACTTTAATTTTTTTGTTTACATACATACAAACATTTATTCATCTTTAGTTATTTTATCATATTTACTTTGTAATTTCATGGACATTCTTTCCCACAAAACATTCAGCAAAAATATTAATTGCCAAAAATATATATTATTTATAAATTTTATTATTATATAAATTTATTATATGTGTATATATAAATATATATATATATCTATATATATATATGTATATTTATCTAGAATCAAAACGATATTAGCAAAACAAATATTTCACTTAAGCAGAAAATATTGGCTTTTGCATGTGTTGCATTAGAAAAACATATTTACACAATTTCACTTTATACACACACTTATACATATACACAATATATTTTGCATATTCCTACATACTAATAGGTTTTAGTAAACTTGGTGTAAGTTTCTTTAAAATAGATATGTTAAAAATTTACATTTTTATTTAGAACTTAGTAAATATAGTGAGTGCTTCTGTTTACACTCTACTAGAAATTTTATTCTCAAAGACAGAAATTAGTTACTCTCGCGAGCAACCTGCGTACTTTTGCCACTCTCTTACTGTTTCTCTCTCTCTTACCAACTCTCTGAATAAATTTCTATCTCTCTCGCTTACTCTCTCCCTTTCAATTTCTCTCTCTCTCATTTTCTTACGCATTTTTCACCTCAATTTTTTCCCTTTCTCTAACTTTCTTACTCACTCTCTCTCTTTTACTCGCTCTCTCTCTCTTACTTATTCTCTCTTTCTCTCTTACTCAATTTCGATTCTCTCTCTTGATCAATTTTCCTACGCTCTCTCTCACTCAATTTTTCTCCCTCTCTCCCTCATCAAGATCAAAATTGGAAACATTTAGACTCTGACCGTGTTTGAAATTAAAGAGTTCATTCTAACCGTGAATATACATCAGAAGTGAATTAGTAAAATACTAGTTCGACCCAATTTATCCAAATAAAATTTCCATGAAAAAATTCATAGCTTGCTACTTGAGATTTTATTACATTCAAAGAGTGCGGATAATGAGAGCGCAAATTTCTATGAGAAACAATAAATCTGAATTACTCAAACAACTCTGGGTAGTCCACCAAGCCGTTGATGATGTCATAAATAAATAGTCACGACTGAAGAGTACGTCCAAAGATGCAAGATATATAAGCAAACATCGGGAAGTATAAGAAAATAGAGGGTCAAGGAAGAATGACGGCACCAAGTCTATATGAATATTTAGAATAAATGGGATACAAAATAAGGCTAGCACACTCCAGCTTTGAACAAACAAGGTTAGATTAAGTTGAGGTGGCTGATCCATTGAATCGCCGATAGTATTGTCAGGCACAATACATTAGTCCAACCTACACTAATATACTCTAGTGTGAATAACATTGCTGTTCTTGTTGCTAACTGGAATTGTTTTGACGCTTATGCCATTACTGATCGAAGGTACTATAGTCTTTCTACGTCAAGTAATCATAGCCTTTATACGCTGAATTCTGGACATTCAATGATTACCTGCTTCACCCTCTCCACGCATTCCTTGCATATCCTACAGTTGTTGTTCCTAGTCAGCCGTATATTAAAAGCATTACAAGCAAAAAATCAATGCTCTGTTAATAGTCCTATCGGCAACATGGAGTCCGACCTCTTTATAGATAGTACGAACTATGTTTTCGTGATACTGTATCCATTGCTCGTTCCCAGAGTCTATTCACCTGACGAAGTAGTATTACTTACTTCATTTGCTTCTTTTCCTAGAATGGAACTAGAAGGATGGATACTGCGTCATGCTCTAAATGGACACCCTTTTTAACCAGTTTGTCTGCTATTTCGTTAACTTCAATGATCTTGTGGCCTAGCAGCCGGTAAATGTACACTCTTCTCTTTTCAAATACTTGTACTTTGAATCATCTTTTTATATAATGCGAACACAGCCTTCATAGCCAAATGCTATGCTGGGCAGTATCGGAGGTTTTGGGGAGCATCCACTAAGTATCCCTTCTAAAAGATGCAATGCAATAACGAGAAAGACAGGCTAGGTTTGGGACAATAGAGCGGCCGCTAACCAACTCATGCTGATGTGAGCTAATAAGAAATTAAATAAAATAGTTAAGATGTTAAATTTAAAGTTTTTAAAAATCATAATAAAAAACTAAAAATCTAAATAAAAGTTTTGAATATTGAATTTAATTTGAGGTGAACGATAATTCAGTAATTCTATATGTTCCCATTGGTTGTGAGTTCGGTCAAGAAATTCTTATCTCAAGCTAGTTTTTTGGTTTTTGTCGACTAGTTGATAATTTACTGCAGAGCATATACAGCACGGACATGCATATGACATACATTTAAATAGAAAAAATACACAATAGGGTACATTTACAATTGCCAGGATATTCACATACTTACCACTTTACACGCAAACGCTCACTTGAAAATCAAATGCAGCACATGTGAACGCGTCAGCTGCAGGCAAGTGAAAGATAAGAAAAACGCTAAACTTCGCCAGTGCATTTATTTGATATTATAAAAAACTGAAAATTCTACACATAAAATTTTTCTGAGGCAGGAAATTAGCTTTGGGTAAAATGTACAAATATAAAGATTTAAAAATTTAATAAAAATTTAATAAAAATATATTTAAAATATTTTAAAAAAATGTTAAATTGTAAAACCAAAATTTATAATATTTATTTAATAAAATTTATTTCCAAATAATAATTAAAAAAAAAAATAAAATAATTGAAATAAATTTTTTTTATTAATTAATTTCACATAAAAATTTAATAAATTTAATTCAATAAAAAAAATATAAGAGATAAACAAGAATTCACATTCACAATTGACATTAATTTTTATTACTGTTATGAAATTCCCAACAGTTTTTTTTTATCTTATTCTTATTCTTATTACATTTAAATTTCTTCTTTGCTAGAAAGTAAATAACTGTGGCATATTTTTAGGGGCGAACGTGCTCACAGTAGGAATTTTTTGTAATAATTATCAATAGAGGTGTATATAAATAAAAATAAATATATTTCAAAAAAAAAATTCTATATATTTGGTAAAAAATTAGCATCTCAATTTATAGAAAACTTACATTTAAAGATTTTTTGAAAATATTTTGTACACCGAAAAGATTTTAATTTAAAAATTAGATTTAACGAAAAAAATTTTTTTGTACAGCCTTACTAATTAAATTTCAGGCGTGTCCTTTTAATGTTTTTTACAACCCAAAATTTTTTAGACAAAAAAATTATTTAACACAAAAATTTATTTTTATTTTTCCTTTAACCTGAGACGCGTTGTTCCAAAGAAAGAAATTTTTTTCTCAAAAAAGAGGTTTAACGAAGAAGTTTAGTTTTCACAGCCTTATTTAGTAAATTTCAAGCGTGTTTTTTTTTAATCTTTATAAGCCTAAATTTTTAAATGAAAAGAGTTTTCAAAAAAAAAAAATTAGCTTAGAGCTTTTTTCTTTTTACTGAGACGGTCCTGGTCAAAGAAATAAAATTTCATTTCAAAACATTCATAGCTCGAATTTCTCTAATTTTTAAATGTTATTCAATGAAATAATTTGGTTTTCAGAATTCTTTTTCTTACACTTTTAATAAAAAAAATATTGCTATCACTGTCCGAAATTGTCCAGCGTTGAAGTCATATATTTAACCATAACATCTACAATAGTTCTCACTGCTTTTAATTTTTTTCTCATTTGACTCCAGCAAACAAAATTTCAAATATCGTCTCATAGTTCGAAATTTTCTAGTCTTTAAAAATTTTTATTTCAAAAGAACTTCTTCAAATAAATAAAACTTTAGGTCCCTTCCCAAAATATTTATAGCACCAAATATATTAATTATCGTTTTAGTTGCAATAAAATTAAAATGGTTTAAATTTAAAAAATATTTACACCAAAAGTTTGAATTTTCTAAATTTGCTTTTTAAATGCTCAGAACTCAAAAGTTACAAATATTTCTACTTTTTGTGAAAAGATCTTTTTTCTCGCCAAATGAACAAAATCTTGAATTGTTAAAGTTTAATGAGCAAACTGTAGCATACCCTTAGGCGCGTTCGTGAAAATTTCAATGAAAAGCGCAGAACTTCAAAACAAATGTAATGAAGTTATAAAATGTAAGGTGCTACCAACAAAAGTGTGCTAGTTTTTTTTTATTTAATACAACAACAACGTCACATTATCTACTATTTTATGCATATAAACGCATACATACATATAATGCACTTAGTGTTATATATGCCCTTACTAGTATGCAATTTCTTTAGTTTTTATGCCTCATTTTAGCAACGCAGTCGCTTGGAAAATTCGCCTACCAAGTGAAAAAAGTATGAAAATTCAAACAATCACTTACCTACACGCCGCACTCAGTAAAGTAAGGCATGCTATGCTGAAGATTTCGTTCATATTTTCTTATGTTCCTATATATAATATATATAGTGTACACTTTGCAACTTTTGTTTTCGCCAAAAGTTACGCAGTGTGCAGTCGAGCATGTGTTGTCGCACGCACACATATGCAATGTTTTCTAAAACGCACGAGCGATTTTCCCTTGCATGCCAGAAACGCAAAACTTTGCTGCCAAACTGTGAAGTATGAATGCGTTGTGGCAGGTAGGTGGTGAAGTTGAATTTTTCTTCATGTTTTTCTTCTTCTTCTTCAGCTGTGCAAAGTTCAGTTTAAACTTAAATGTGTAAGATATATTATTTTATTGTTTTTTTACCAACATTTTTGTTTTTTTTTTGGCATTACACACAGGTGTTCCCAGCTGATATTCCATCCCCAAGCCATATTTCTTAAGGTTCTTTGCTGTAGGAATACTCGTAAAATCATAGCTGAGAAGAAACAAAAGCGCTGCACTTATTTTCATACATACATACATATATTTATGCAAGAGTTTCTTTTATTTACTTTGTTGCACGCAAACGCAAATATGAGTGAAGTATATATTCATATTTTAATTTGCATATATGTACGTGTATGTAACCCTTTCGTTTACAGCCATGTCTTTTATTTATTTTATTTTCTTCATACAGCAGCTTTTCTACGCTTTCAATTCAGATATTTCCAGAAATTTACATTTGCGGGAAAACGAAAAATAATATTTACAAGACTGCCGTAAATCTGTTTGAGGGTTTTTTGATTTTTTTTTTCATGAGAAAATAACTCACTACAGTTAACACCATTACATAAGTACTTGTAGAGAACTCATTCTCTGGTTGTCGAATGCAGCTATAAAATCGAAAATGTGGTCATATTACAACAAATACTAGGTTATATCTGAAATTTGCTCACTGTATGCCGGGGCTCTCCACAAAAAATGGAAATTCTTTCGCAGCAGGTATCTCCTAAATACCTGTATATGTTCCTGAAACTGCCTAACAGTTCCTCTTCACCATCTTCCCGGAGGGAAAATTGTCCTTCACCGTCTCTAAATACTCGTAAAAGTACCTGAGAGAGCTTAAAAGATCCTCAGCACGACCTTCGTGTACGAAAAATAGTCCCTCCCTCTCTAAATACTTATATAAGTTCCTTAAAGTGCTTAAGAGTTACTCAGCACGATCTTCCTAGTTCCTCGCTCCTCTCAGTATATGAATAAGTTCATGAAAATACAGAATAGCTTCTCACCACGAGCTTTCGTGGGGTCTGTGAAACATACATTGTTCTTTCGGCGATGTGTTGAAGAGATGATGGGCTACAATGAGATATTGATGCATAGACATGTGTGTAAGGCTGATGTGTTGAGGTCTGTTGTTTTTATTATTAGCTTTTGGCTGGATTATGTCACTGGTTGTTGCATAGATCGGGTCTTAACTTATGCTGATCTCAATAGTGCCTTCACTCTCGAAACCGGCCGGATCTAGTCAATAGTGAATCGAATGGATCAAAACTAAATAGTTCAGTCAGTACATCATCGGCACCGATTTCCTATATAGTCGAGTAATGGAATGGTTTACTCATCATCAGCTCCGGTCTTGAGACCAAGCGTATGTGGCGGGATTTTCTCAACGGGCATTCATATCGATCTGCTCCTCGTACTCACCTTCGCACTCAAGCATTTGGATTTCTTTGTTGTTTTTCTTACTGCTAAGGAGCAGACTTTGCTGTTTCAATATCATGCTCATTTGGAATATTCCTCATCTCGGCGAGACGAGTTCAGGCTTTTTGAGCTCCTACGGGTTGTTTGTACTCATTCCAATGCCAGAAATGAGATTATCAGGTGACTACTGCAGCCGAACGGGTAGCACTATCTACTACTATGCGAAGAATCATGATTTCGAATTCCATTCAGACTAATTTTCCAAATGATACCAAAATTTTCTGTAAATTCCGGCGACTTCAGCTGGATATGCCTCATAAAAATCAAATGTGTAGGAGCTTTCATTTTCAATTCTTTTAATCAATCTCACTTCGAACGCCAAACGAAACAAGTCTTGTTTTCATACTTGTTTCGTTATTGTCCCGTTCATCTCATTTCTTGGTCGTCTTACTCTTTATCACGGCGTCAACCAGCAGGATAACGCCATTCTCCCTCTTCAGATACACTTATAGTGCAAACATCGCTGCTTGAAGGTTGTGAGATAAGCTAAATTTATATGGCGAGCTGCCTGATTCAAAAAAAACACCCGCTTGCAGTACTACCTCTGGAAAACAAGTGCGCTGTAATTGGGGACAAAATTATAATGATTTTTTTTTTAATTTTAAGCTAAATAATTTTTAATTTTTATTTTTACAATTTCATAAATTTTCAAATATTATTTCTAATAAATTAAAAAATATTTATAAAATGCACCGGCGAAGTAGTAAAAATTTTCAAAATTAATAATATAAAAACGAAGGAAATTTGTTAAAATCAATTACAATATTTTGGAAAATCTATCTTCCGTCAGTCAAATGACAAGCAAAGTATGAATTATTATGATTTTTTAATTGAAACATATATTACGTTATACACATATATTTATAAATTAAAAAAAAGTTATTTTTTTAATAAAAATAAATATAGAAAAATTATTGCTCATATTTACGTATGTGTTTGTATATGAAGTAGCTTAAATTTAGTGAGTAATTCATAAATTCATACATTTTTTCTTCTTCTTCTTTTCTTTTTGCCACATGTGTTTTTCCATACATACGCATATTTGTACAACAACATCAACAATTGCAACATTCAAAATTTAAAAAAAACACATCAACTGCAACTCGATGCATGCTACTTGCAACATATTTTACGTGTTCGTCTTTTGTGCCGTTTTGTGCGTCCAACTTCATCAAAAAAAAAATCAAAAAACAACAACATAAACTCATCAACGAAATTTCGAAAAAAAAACGCATATGAATTAAATTTGTCAAAAAAAAAAAATATTAAAAATTTATTTTAAAAAAATGTTCACTCAACCATCAACGTCATCAACATCGCCATGTAAACAAAATGGAAATTGACCATTGAAACGTGAAAAATATTTGTATCAATTAAACTGTTACAACAAATTTGTGTGAAAAAATAACAACGACCAAAATGAAAACAAAAAATTTTGAAAAATAAAAAATTTGAATTTCTGTGAAAAATTTCAAATGACCAAAAAATATTTCAAATAAAATAAAATTTCGCAACAATCTTGTAACATTCACACTCGCAACTGTAATCAATGTCGTTGGCAATGTTCAATGTAATCACAAACAATATACCGTCATCACAACAAAAACCACAACAATTTCACTGTTTTCATGGCTGACAATAAACGACGAAAACCAATCAAACAACAAACAACGATATGAAATTGATTGCGCGAATGTGTAATTGGTTGGAAACAATTTTTTGTATGTGCATATGTATGCAATGGGAAAATTCGGATTGACTATGGTAAAAAAATGTGAATTGGAAAATTCAAAAAAAAAAAAAACAAACAAAAATTTTTTATTAAAAAAAAAATTTTTAATACCAAATATAAATGTGACATTTAAAAATGTTGAAAATTTATATTTCGAATTTCTATAAAAAAAATTATAAAATTTTGATTGAAAAAAAATCTAAAAAAATATTATTAATATTACGAAAATAAAAATTACATTTTTTAACTTCGAAAAAAATATACATATATTTAAATTTGTACGCAATCGCTGAAATAACTCTTATTGTATCAAAAATAAAAATTTCATATTTTGTATTTCAAAAATATAATTTTGTTTATTTTTCTCGCAAATATTGAAAAATGTGTAAATACATTTTTATATTATGTATTATTTTTATCTAAAAACCAAATATAAAATTGTAAATCTTTTATTTAAATATGAAACTATAAATTAAAAATATATAAATATTCAAATATAAAACAATTAAAATTAAACAAAAATTTAATATTACAAATGAATTAAATTTTGCAAAAATAAAATGATTTTTTCGAATTTCATAAAATACGAATTTTATCAAATTAAAAACTATGAAAAACAAATAAATATTACAAAATACATTTTTATAAAATAAATGGTAAAATTATAAAAATTCATTAAAAACGCTTACTTTTAATTTCAAATTTAAAAAATTTTAATTTTAAATGCACAAATCAAAATATAAAACATATGCGGTACATATAAATATTTTTTCCAAAATATATACAAAACACGTTGTATATAATAAAAAATAAAATTAATTCAAACAAACAATTTTTTTATTTAAAAAAATGCAAAAAAAAAACGTACGTAATTTGTAAAAACGTAAAACATTCCAAAAATTTAAAATTTTTCGTGTATTTTTAAAAATTCATTATTTAAAAAAAAAAAAAAATTTAAAAAAAAATAAATTTAAAATATATCAAAAATACTTATTTACGGATAATAAAAAATAAATAAATAATAATTTAATACTAAATATATTAATTTAATACTAAATATATTAATATAAAATTCAACCAAAAACTTCAAAAATTTATTATTCTTTAAAAAATTCAAAAATATATATTGCTTAAACTTCAACAAAAATATATACCAAAAAATTCTATAAAAAATTGAAATCTGGAAAAAACCAATATATTTGGCTTTAAAAATTAATCACATTGCTCCGCACATCACAGGATTCACCACAAACAGTACATCACTTCGAACCATTCACATTTGGTGGGCCGACTTTTTGCGATCACTGTGGCTCACTGCTCTATGGCATCTATCATCAGGGTCTCAAATGTTCAGGTAAAAATTAGGAAATTAAACTGAAATGAATGGAGCATGTTTTATGAGAAAGTCAAGTGAAAGTGAATTTGAGAAAAACAAAAAATAATTAAAAAACTAGATCTTAATAATTAAATTTGTAAGTTCATAAAAAAATATTAAACTTTGCTGTGATATTACGTATGAATAGCAAGAAAGAAAAATATTCTCCGGCAATAAAATAAACATTGTTTATCAATATTGTCAAGTGCAGCAATAATTTATTTTGCTCTTTTATATCTTCACCAAACTTACAAACTCACGAGTTTCCCATTAAAAACCTATGAAAAAATTCTGTTTCATTAACTCAACCCACTTTTTGCATACGATTTTCCATACCCAATGTAAGAAGATCTTATGAATAAATACAATATACATATATGTATGTAAACAATACCTCTTTATACTCACGGCATGAACAAATTGAATTTAAATATTCCATTTTTGTGGCATAAAATCAAGCCACTGCATTCGCAAATACAAGGAAAAAGTAACTGCGTGCTTGTGTGAGCATAAATTCTGACGCGTGTGTGTTCTTAAGCGGTATTAAAAGCACTTCATTCAATTTTTTTCCGCTGATTCAATTGCCACTCTGTTGCCGAAGTAACATGTACACGTATATTTGTTTATAAAAGAAGAGGAAATCGACTTCGCAATAATATGGAAATGTCTATCATGTGCAAGTATGCGTGAATTTAGAAAGTATTAACACTTTATTAAAACACTTTGTGACAGACTAATTAATTATATTTAAAGTAGTAATTACTTTCAACTAAATATTTGAGCGAAAACCACATGAAAAGCAAGCATATTTAATGGGACCACATAACGTATGAGTAACATTGCTCTGTATAATTTATTTAGTGCGGGCTGTTTAGAAAAAAATGTACATACAGCGTGTTTGATAAACATATGATAAAATATAGTTATAAATACATATTAGTATTTATTGGATCATTGTTTGTTTTATTCTCTCCTTTTATTTTATTTTATATATTTTTTTAAATTTTTATTTTATTTTATTTTATATATTTTTTTAATATTTTATTTTATTTTATTTTATTTTATTTTATTTTATTTTATTTTATTTTATTTTATTTTATTTTATTGTATTTCATTTTATTTTATTTTATTTTATTATATATTTTTTATTTTTCGTGAAAAATTTTATATTTTTAACTTTTTCATTATTTTGTACTCTGCCATTTATTCAACGCTAATTCCCTTGAGTAAACACTTGTGTAAACAAAAGCAATAACATAACAAATAAGGCAATAAAAAATAGCATACACCTTACATACAATCATTTCTTGCATAAATGTAAATTGTCCAAGCCAAGCTGGAAAATCGCTAGTTTGAGTTTATTTGTACAAATGCCATTGTTTATGTGAAGAGATATGCAGAGTATGTAAAGACTGTAACAAATAGAATAATACATACAATAAATGCTAAAGCAATTGCTGTGACTTGCCACAACACACACGCACACGCACACGCAGATAGTCACAGATATGCCTTGAATTATTCTCCACCAACACTGAATGCAAGCTTGGCCTACCAACCGCTGTCGCTTTAAAAATGTGTGTCTTTTATGTAAATATTGTACATGTGTGCTTTTCATTGTATGCGTGGCACAAAACAACAGTCGCACACACATGTATAAATACATTAATGTATGCACATGGTTAATTAAAGAGCAAATGTATGCATACACAAGCCGTACGAAAGCAACAACAATGACAAATAAAAGTTTATGCCTGTTTGTATATACAATACGCTTGCTTACACAGGCATTTACGAATATTAAAATGCGGCAAGAAAAAATTACGAAGTCGATTTATGCACTCTTACACATTTATTCGCATAAATTTGTTTTGTGGCTATTTTTGTTTTGGCATTTTTTCCATACAATATTTTTAATTTAAGATTAATTGTGGTAAGACATGCAAAAGCTGCGAATATTTTCCCACATAAAATCAGTAAAACAAATATGTATGTACAATGTGTGTGATGGGTAAACAAAACAAAAAAAAAAAAAACAAGCTAATCAAAATTCTGAATATTAAAATTTCGCACTTGAAAGTTTTTCGCTGGTTTAAACGAATTTTCTAATTAATGTTGAAAAGTTGAAATGAATTGGTTGCATGCTTTTAGGAGCTCGTCCGAAAATCGCTACAATTATAAATATATACATATATATAGATATTTATTTTATTTTATATATATATATATATGATCGTGGCTTAGCAGTCTTCATTCCGACTACTTTCGCAATCTCACCGAATTTCTATTTGAAAACTCAGTTAGTTTTATCCTCAATGATCTACTGCAGTCTGCGGTACACATAGTTTTTCTTATTCTCTATAATTTTATAATATCTTAACAATATAACCTTTTCGTCATAAGTCTAACCTAAGAATAACACAATCGCACGTTAGTTAAATAATTAATTGAAACCCCATTTATTGCTGCTTGAATGAGAGAGGTTGCCAACGAAGAAAGTCGATTCTTCTTTTTCACGATTCTTTTTAAGTCCTAGGTAATTCAGTTCCATTAAGTTAATCTTTTGTAAAATTTTCTACTGGCAGCAATGGGTATTTGGATATTCCTTCCTTGTCAACTTCTTTGAAAGCGAATAAGGCTAAAGAAAAAAATCTTCTATTTTCCCATTCCCTTTCCTCCCAATTTTATAACAAAGATTTTTCAACAATCCACTCCCAAATATATTATACATATGTACATAGATATTAAGCGTTTATCAAGAAAGTCTTTCAGCCTAAATGTATGCCAAACGTGTGTATGTCGTAAGAAAGTAATTGAAAATTTATCTTTTAATTTTTTTTTTTTACAAATTTTTGTTAATCCACTGCTTTCAGATTACCTCTTATCATGTCTGGCACTTGTATGTGTATATGTTTATTTCTAAATTCGTTGCACACGTGTACGGCGACAACTTATCTGCTACTGAAGTGGTAGCCATAAATTTTGTCATATACTGAAAAGCAAATATACACACTCAATACAATACAATATTTTGTAAACATGAGACTCATATTTGAGCAGGTAAAATAATATATGCAGCGTGTGCACTCACGCACACTTACATGACAGCACATCGCGTTGTTAGCGCGGCATAAGCGCACATGTACACGTGTCAGCAGTTTTTAGCGTTGCTTTGTTAGCATTTTAAAATACCACGTAAACTTGCATACATATACATATATATATATTTATATGTATTGTACATAAATGCATATGTAGGCATGTATGCCTGCGTTGGTGTATCAAGTGCTTAGCCAGCACTTGAAATGATTGAAGTGTGCACGGTTTTAAGCCATATGCATATTGTATATCACGCTGACATACAAGCGAACAAAGTATGTATGCATGTGCAAGGCTTACAAATAATTTCGATACAAACACACAGAAAAGTCAATTCATGAGTGCCTTTTATACATCAACATTATTACTACATCATCTTTACACCATACATACACACACACACACACACACACAAACTCGCGTGTGAGTTCGAGCAATTTTTATGATTGACGATAGTCATTCCATTACGCGCTGTTTCGTGCTATTGCTTGAAGGTAACGTGAGTATATATATATATATATATATATATATATACATATACCTCTCTGTTATACTCACCTCCACTCATCTTACCTCCACTCACTTTGGGCAACCCTTTTTAACAATCACTTTGCGTGTCTTCGCCTAATTTGACTCCGCTGTTATGAGGGAATTCTGACTTTCGCCGAATCTTAATGAATATTAATGGCAGTGCATGGGTAGTCTTCTTTTTTCGGCAAGGCAATGAAACGGAAAGAAAAATGTAATCAATTATTTAGAAATTTTTTTTTTTATATCAAAAAGGAACTGTGTACAAGGTGTGTTCGGAGGATGATGTATATTTTTATTTTTATAAATAAAATATTTATACTTCAGTTTCCATTGCGTCCACTTCAAACGAGGGGGACCCTCGTATATAATACCTGGCGGCAGGGTCCTTACCAAACCTGAATGCTGTGCTATTACGTACTACTTCAATATGATGTTGAGCTCTTTAAGGCACATGGCTTTTACTCGGCTTATAATTGGCCCAAAACTACAGTCTTTCTGAGACATCTTCAATCAGTGGATGATGGAGCAAAAAGTTTCAGGGTGTCAAATAGAATGTTTTTCATGGAAAAACTACAATCGAGGGAGCTCTGTTTTGGCACAGAGCATAATTTTATCAGCTCCTTCCATTTCTTATATATAATTTTTTACACAACTTTTTATTAATTTTGTTTTTTTATGAAGCGGATTGTAACTGGTGATGAAAAGTGCATTAATTAGATGACAACAATAGTAGTCGATGAGGAGTGCGGCGATCACAAACCATCCCCAAGATTGAGGGTCAGCAAGGTTTTGTTGTTTGTTTGAAAGTATTGGCCAGGAATCATTCTCTACGGCAAAACTCTTAATTTGGACCTCTGTTGTCAATAAGTGGATTGCAAAAAGTAAGCAATCGCTCTGATGCACCCAGCTTTGGCCAACAGGACAACGCCAGACCAGACACATTGATAGTGACTCATCAGAAGCTCTTAAGTTTGGTTAGAAGGTTCTTATGCTCCCACGTTATAATCACGACACCGCACCAAGTGACTACCAACTGAAGAATTGGCCTGAAAAGAAGCGTGTGCAAATCGATAGACCCAATTTGTTTGCCAACATGGACCGGGGTTTTTATGACTTACTAAAGTCTGAATGACAAAAAAATATCGAAAAAAATTATGTATATTTTACATAAATCGGATAATTCTAACTGTAATAAATAAAATCTTCAATTTAAGGCAAAACTCATGGACTTCTTTCTAGTAATACCCTCATCTGATTGTTCGAACATACCTCGTACCTCAAAATGGAACTGTATATGCACTACAATGATGAAGCTAAATTTAATAATCTCTGCTCATTTTGACACCGCA